AGCAGTTAACATGTCTCCATACTAGGACAGGTAGGGAGAAAGAAATAATCAGAATTCATCCAGCCTGCTAGGTAGGCTGCCCTTAGCATGCAACTAGGAGTTCTCAAGACACCAGACAAACTCATCGTGGGGATAAGGAAAAGGGCAGGCAGCAAAGTATTAGTTAAGTAAAAAATCATTCATTTTAATGCAAATTGCTAATCACATCTAGAAACTGGGTGCACAGTTCAAATTCTTATACAAAGTTGAAGCAAGTAGATTATGCAATGTTACATTTGAGTTCTATGTGTTATTAACCCTTACAGAGGAATTCATTTTGTTAATTACTGACTTAGTATTACACACACCAGCACCTTAATAATTCACACAGCTAAGGACCTAACCAAGAATGTATTTAAGCCTCACTGTTTGCCTTGGCAACTGCTGCTGCCGTATTATAAAGGAGCAAAGTTCATATTTTCCTTTGATGTGAATGCCATCACTTCTTACCAATGCTAGCAGGAAAGCTTCACATGCAGACCAACTCCTTTAGACAGCAACACACTGTACTACACTAAGACAGCTCTGCCAGTCTAGTTTAGTCCTGTTCTGGGAGTCAAATGAAAATTAAAGACAAGTAGTACATGGGCATGCTGTTTGTGTTATGGCATTAAGTTACAGTACAAGGCTTCATCCACCTTCAGTAAAAAGACCTGGAAGATGAGAAATCAGCTATAAAAATACTGTTGTAGTAATTAAGACAACCTCAGGCTTTGAGGGAACTCAAATGATGTCAGGAACTTTCAAGAGGCTTGGAAACAGGGCTTTAGAATTACTACATTGTCTCATACAGTTTTGGCAGGTAAGCATGAAGTTGCCTAAGTGAAACTCAAATGCATAGTGTATGCAGAAGGTTCTTTAACAGAGCAACACCAACTCATTGCTTTTACCATTAAGTTGGGTACTCCCGCATATTCTTTTCAATTTACATATAAGTTTTCCTTGAGGAAAATTAACACTGAAGGATTTTGGAAAAAGTAGCAGTTTCCATCATGACAGAAAGCCAAACAACATTTAGACCATTAGAGCCATCAAAATAAACTTAGGAAACAAAACTAAGGTTAATATGCCAGGGCCACATATTAAGAGAAGGCAACCTGTCCATTATAGGTTACAGCTGTGTTAGTTATGATTGTACCACCTACTATAATTCATGCTAGCAAAAGTCAGAGAACAGTCTATTCAAGTAGAAGGAAGACATCTTGAAAAGAAAGGCTTTAATTCATGCCCTTCTTTGAGACAGAATGCTAAAGTATCTGTCTCCACTGACCAACAGATTCACATGTATGTTAATTCATGGTTTGAAACAATCACTTGTGTCTGACAAAAACGGTTTATGAAAGTAATCTGTTAAATCGTTACTGATATGGGGAAAGCAAAGAGGTGTAAGGTTATCCCATGCTGTTGACATCCTTATCCACAACTCGGTGGCATCTTGAAAAACATGCAAACAAAAGCACTTGCTTATGCAGTTACATGACACTTTACCTTCAGAAGATGAGCAAGATGATTCACAGTTGCTCAATCCACCACCTCATAGACCGAAAACATTTATATACAGAACCAACTATATGGTCTTCCATCCTCTGAAGTCAAGACCTGATACGCACTCACCTACTAAAACCACAGGATCAGAACCAGAGAACTAAAATAAGCTACATTTCATGACAATTTGAGAACACCTGCAAGGAAGTTCATTGCTCTAACTTACTACCTGACAAAAAGTTACTGAATGACAGATACCCCTGACTTCCTCTTACTACTCAAGGCTTAAATAGCAACTGCCAGAGCAGTCAGGGAAGAGTGGGAGGGTAAGGGATACAAACTGTGAAGCCCTAAGGCAAGACAGAGGCACACCTTTGTAAGGTGCTGTTGACAAGATGTATCTCCTATCTACTGGGCAGATGAATGCCCGTACTGTAATATCCACAGTGATAACATTGTCCATTTTAGCCACAGACAGCAACCCATTGCCTAAGAAGATACACTCAGATCTCACTGACAGGAAGGGAAAGGTTTATCATAAATTTGTTGCGACATGCTCTCTGCCAGAAGGATGTTCTCGTGGTTCAAATATGCAGTGAAGGGGGAAGAAAAAATTATCTCAAAACTTCCTGTATAACAAGTCAATGCAACTTCCAAAGATGATGAAACTGAGGCCATGTGACTGCGTTCAAAGTTCTTCTGTGTGGACCACAGAAACAACATGCTAAGAAGCCTTAGCAGATATTGCGGAAAATAAGACACCACAAAACCCATTTCATTCCCTTGTCTAAATGACTTAACAATGCCATTTCAATAGCAAACTATTTAAATCCCACCATTCTACTAAAATATTATTCCATTATGTTTTAAGCAATAACGTGAGAAATTTAGCACATACACAGAAAGAGAGTTATTGCTGTATTTCATCAAGTTTAATAAAGTCATTAACACCTAACAGGAAGTTGCTACTGAGAAGAATGTGGTAAGGAGTTACTGACTTGCGTTTAATACAGAAATATCTCTTCTATTGATCCGATAAAGCAAGTTTTAATTTTTTAAAGAAGGTGAATATCTGCTGCTAGTTTACAATTCAGTAATACTCTTATCTGGGCGCTCAGGTTAATGTTTAAAAGTCATCACTTACAGTCAGCCTACACACCGGGATAGATCCGGCATTCTTATGTGGCACATATTCTGCCAGAAAAGGGAAGTTTCACTTGACGGAAGTTATTAGATAAGGCTAAATTCTATTTATTTACCGCCTTACTGACACATTTAGTTTCAGTAAGACAATGACAACCTTCTCCCTTGGCTCCTGCTGTATCTGTCACTCATTTTCCTTTCTCTCTTATATTTCTTCTCATGGGTCTGCAATTTCTATATTGCTTCTTCCACATTTTTCCCCAAAACAACTCTGTTCCTGGCAAGACAATTTCAATTTCGCTGTTCCATCACTAGAATAATATGAGCTGACATTTAAGTGTAATCTTCAGTTTTCTTGGTTTGGCAGTTTTATGAGATTACAAAGAGACAGGGTTCATACTTCTGAGTCACTGCTTTTGAAAGACTCAGCAGATGCAGGTAGACATACTGGAAAGTTGTTTCCAGCAGAAATAGGAAACACCAGAATCACAGGAACCTCATGCCAAAAAACTGTACAACTGTCAGCTCATAATACTTGCCATGCGCATAGCTGCCTACCAGAGAGCAAACAATCCTGCTTCTGTTACTGTAGGTTCCTTGATTTTGTTAGTTTTTTGTCTTTCTTGTTTCCCTGCTTCTGGAAGGCATGCTACCACCAGCAAGCCATGTGTTATTTGATTGATTGTGCTTAAATATACAGAGCGCTCTGTGGTCACAGATGTTAGGCAGCACAGGCACCGAGATTACTAGAGGGGGTAAAAAAAAAACAAACAAAAAAAACCCGGCAAGCATATGAGGAAAGCAAAATCTTCCAATGGTGAACTGTGATCCACCTCCAGAAGGAAATGCCTTCCTTGAGAAGCCAGATGGCAAGGTCTTAAAAGCAGGTTCGGTCAAAATTAAGGTATCTGACTACAATCGTCAGCTTCTGAGGTTCGAAGCAGATTGTTAGAGAAATATCTGCTTCAACGTGTACTTAATACTTCTCTGCGGACCCTTCCTGCCGAACAAGACAGGCTGCACAACCGAGTTCGGGCATACCCCACCTCTACTGCATAGAGCTCATTTTGGAAAGGACTCACGTCCTCGCTCGCAGCCGGCGCTGCCTCCCCGCCCGAGCACGGCGGAGACAAAGCCGCCGCCGGGCCGCCTTCGCCTCGACCGCGCACGTGGGGCCGCGGCGGGGGGCGAGCGCCAGCCGCGGCAGCCGAGCCTGGCACCGGGCCGGGCCGCCAACCGCCCGCGGGCAAGCCCCGGCTTGCCCGGACAGCGCCGGGCCCCGGCCGCCCCCAGCCGCGGGGTGCCGGGCTCCCGTCCGCCCGTCCCTCTGTCCCCGGCGAGGTGACGGTGTCCGGGCCGCGGCAGCGCCGCGCGGGCCGGGCCGTGTCCCGGTGCGGCGGTCACGGGTTCGCATCACGCCTCGATCAGGCTCCCGACGCGGAGCCATCTTGTCCCCCGGAGCCGCCGCCCGGCTCGGCCTCCCCCCGGCAAGGGGCTCCTGGCACGGCCCTGGGCGCGGAGCCCCGGCCCCGGGGGCGCTGCCCTTCCCGGCGGGAGACCCGGCCCGGCAGACACAGACCCCGGCGGGGGGAAGGCCGGGCCGGCGGGCGGGGCAGGCGGCAGCTGGGTTCACAAAGCGGCTTTGTGCCCGGGCCGGGCCGCCCGGGAGCCGCGGAGAGGTCGCCATCTCCACCTTTCCGGCCGAGAAGGGGAGAGGGGCGCCGGGGGCGGCAGAGAGGCCGAGTCCTGCCGCAGCCCGGCGGGCTCGGCGCTCCAGCGGCCCGCCCGAGGGGAGCCGCAGCCCAGCGCTTCGAGAAGCCGCCTGCAGCCGGGCGAGAGAACAAAGGGATAACATGGAGGAGCAGGGGGAGAAGCGCGGGGAGCCGGGCACGGTCGGGCGGCCCGCGGGGCGGGGGCCGGAGGGCGCGGGCAGGCGGCACTCACAGGAATATGGTTACTCATTGAAGACTGTAGCCTGATCATACAGCCGGGGTGCGGGCGCCACAGCCGGGGGCAGGAGGAGCAGAACCAGGAGGGGGAGGAGGCGGAGGCGCTGGAGGCCGCGGAGCTGCCGGCGGGGGTTCGGCGGCGGCGGCGCGGGGCAGGACCATACAGCGGCTGCGGCGGGCGGACGGCTCTGCGGGCAGCGCCGGGCGGACGCGGCTGCACCAGGAGCGACACTCGGCGCCGCCTCCCCCACGAGCGCCCCGGCCCCGCCCTTCGCCCGCGCGCGTCACTGACGGGCGTCGCTCCCGCCCAATCAGAGCCGCCGTCGGCGCGTCCGGGGCGGGCGCGAGGCCTCGTGGGGCGGGGTGGCGCCGGGTGCGGGCGGTGCGAGCGGCGGAGGCGGCCGGCGGGAACCGGTTCGTGAATGGGGCCGGGGCGGGGGCGCCGCCGGGGGCCGGGCTGGGCCGCCCCGCGTGGCCCCACCCGTCGGGGCCGATGCCGGCGGCTGCGCCGGGAGCGCCTGCGGCGAGCTCGGGATCCCCTTGGGCGGCGAGTCTTGGGTTCTGCCGCGCAGCCCCTGCTGCCCGCCGCGGCGGGGCGAGGCGGGACAGCCGCTCCCGCGGGGGCCGTAGGACGCAGGATGGCGCAGCGCGGGCCCCGGGCGGGTTTAATCCCTCGGGCCCTTCGCCCGCGGGCCGCAAAACCGCTTTGGCGAGTTTAATGCTGGCAGGAAGCTCTTAGCGCGTTTTGCCCGCGGATTACCCTGTGTTCTTTAAATCGGGATAAAAACGGTGATTTCTGGTGTTACACATAGGAGATCAGCCCAGTAGGCCAGAAGTGGTGTGGGAAACAACAGGGGCTCTCTCAGCCTTGTGTTCCCTCTCCCTCCTAGGGAACAGCACAGGGGTTTCTGAAAAGCGTGATCAGGAGTTGGAGCCCAGCGTTGGGAAGCACCGACAGTGTCACTGCTCTGCCCAAGGGACACAGGCACGTCAGCCGGCTGGACACCGGCAACCTGGGAAACACCTCAATGTGGGTCAGCGCCAGCTTTGTGAAATAGCAGCCTATTTTTAGATTCAGTTTGTCTGAAACTGTTTTAGTATTTAACTAGTTGTCTTTCAACTGCATGTTATTGTTACAGATTACAAGAGCCTGCAGAAGTTGTTTTTAATGTAAAAAATGAACAATTGTGAGTCTCGTCAGTGAGTATTGGCTTGTACAAAGGTATGCTGGTTTGTGGTTTCACCTAAATGGCCTGGTTTTATCTAGTCTCTACAAACCAGAAGTGTTCATGGTCACTGACTAGTGAGGTCTGTTACTCAGAACATGACTATATTACCTTTCACTCCACCTGGCTTCACGTGGCTATAAGACCATGTCTGTGCTCGCATAGTGTACTCAGCTTTTCTGGGCTATAAATAGATCTGGGCTATATTTATTTACATTGCGGTTTGTGTTTACTGACTTAGGACACGTGTCTGGGGTGAACTTGCAGCTGTTTCTACTTCTCCATATAAAACTTCTTGAAAATGTACTCAGAATGCTATAAAACAAGAAGATGATCCCAAGGTTAATGGCCGCTTGGAATATTGTTTATTTGTTGCAATGTTAGGAAGGTTTTGAGGAAAAAAGAAATAAAGTCAACACACCTTCTCTCACTAATAAAGCTTGAGGAATTTGCTCTGGATAGAGTTCTGAGATTAAACAGCTCTTTATGTGCTTTAAGCCACGCTGTTTTGTTTTTGTGTTTGTGTTGTTTGGGTTTTCTCCCTCCAACAATACATGCATCTGTTTACTGTTTCATTGCACATTAAACTGATCAGGATTTTAAGATCAGTTACTTTGTGCTGCAACATCCTTGCAGTTCCGTAGCACAGTAGTTTACACTGAAAATAAGTCAGTGGCAGTTTCTTTGAAATGATGTAAGAAAAAATAATTTAGCTCAGGAAACCTAATCTAAAAGGATTTTTTTCTTTTTGAGGAAAAGAAAGTTAAGATGCAGTTCCTGTATTTCATGGTCTGAGGTGACAAGAGATACTTGGGAGTATTACAGACAGGTAGATTCCAAAGGTCTCTTATTTCATATAACATAGAGCAGAGTAAGAAATATTTATAGGGGAGAGAGAGAAAAGTGCATAGTTACAAAGAGCCAACTAGGGAACTTATGGAATAAGTGGATTGAGGAAACAGAAAGAGATGAGATTCCTAAAGAACTTAAAAAATAAGAAAAAAAGTAAATGTTTGAAAAGAGAAATCTGTGGGGTATATTCAGAAGAGACTGATACTATTAGTATCACCATTGTTGCAGTATTAGGAAGATTAATACAACTTTTATGATAAGAGGCTATAATAGGACAAAGTTTGAATATATTTTTGAAGAAGTGGGAGTAAAAAATAAAATGTGGGCATGGCCTGAATGTCCAGTTCTTACCTAGTTGACTATTATTAATAGTTTTAATAGGCAGTTATGCATTAAACCAGGCAATTTCAAGATACTGAAGTTTCAAAAATCAAAATGGTGAGTTCTACCTTATAAATACTTTTTTTGCCCCAAGTACAATAGTGAAAAAAAATCCTGATTAACTTTATTTATGTAAAAGTGTAAATACTTGATATGCTTTGTTAGCCATTTTTGTCAAGAAGGAGAATCGTAATATGATGAGGAAGCAGTTTTTTACCTCTGATCATCTTTGTCAACCTTCCTGTACGTATAAAAATACCATTATATTATTTTTTAGCCACAGGGACCAGAACAGGGACTAGTTTTCAACATGCAGTCACACAGTTCCATGTATCACTTTGAAGTGGTTCATATTAAGTTCTTGCAAGTACACGGGTTCTGGTTTGAGAATGCTACTTCTATGGGATTCAAGAAAATTAAACTTTAAAATATTACTCTTATGTTTGAAATACATACATTTTGTAACAACTAATATAAATATTACTCAAAGACTAAATAAAAATAATTGTTACCAATATGCTTGTCTTTTGCAGACACTTAACTTCCTTAGTCCCTCTAGACAGAAGTCAGTCAGTTGTCCCTGACATTTGTGGGGGGTCTTATGTATCATAACATAAGGGCAAAAAGCCCCAAACAATCATATACTGGAAAGAAATGTCAGAATCTAAATTGGTTAAAGTATCAATTGGATGTAGTGTCTATGTGGACTAGTCCTATTTTAAATTTGAATGGAATTGGGGATTTTGTATAGCTATCAGTGTCATGCTGTTACTAGTCTGTATGGATGGAATTACCATACACACTTAAGGCTTTGCTGGTTGGATCTTTGATCTGCTGATACTAAATGTAGCCTGAAGGCTGTGTTAATGGGCATGTCATGCCAATATGTAAAAAGTGAGTTGGCTATGACTGGGTTAGACTGTCATCTAATAGGAAACTTATACATGACTAAGGTGATTAAAGCAAAAAATAATTAACGGATAGGAATATAATTAATGCAAATCAATGTAGTTCTAGGGAAAACAGCTGTTGTAAAGAAAGCTGATTTAATGCTTTGATAAGATTACAAGATTGACATAAAAGTAACTGCATTGTTGTAATGCTAAATGTTCATGTTTTCAAAGTTTTATCAAAGGAGTGTAATTAAAAATCACTTGCCACGGCTCGTTGGGATATGGGGTGAGGATCGGGCACCGCTAAATAAGGGTTCGGAGCACGGTAGAGGTGAGGGGAGCAATGCCGATTTTATTAGCATAACAGCGACTTATATAATCTTAACTCAGGGGTGGAGCTTGGGTTAGGGAGGAGCATGGGACGGACAGCTCAGGCATTCAGGAGATTGGATAGCTGGGTGCGAGGGGGAGGAGATTGGGTGTATCCAGGGGAGCGGGCCAATGGTAGCTACCTCTGCACTGCACCAAACTTCAACCAATGGCAGGCAGAGGAGCGGGAAAACAGGGAAAAGGCGGGAAAACTGTGAGGGGATGGGGAAGACAACATGGAGGACAAAATTTTAAAACAACCAAGGGTACATTTCAACTGAGGGTACATACAACCATACATTATCAAACTGGGGAAAAACTGGGGTACAACTGTCTAATCCGGGAAATGTTACATCTAATATATTTGTGTCCAGTCCTGTATAATAAAGTCAAATCCAGCATAGTAAAGTCCAAGTCGGTGTTGTTGTCTTATTTAAGGATTGTATATTTTTCTCCACGCCTCATATTTCTTCCATTCTTCCGATCTGCCTCCAACATCTCCCCCTTCTTTGTTTGATTGAACGATGGTCGTGTTCACGTTAACAGCGCCAAGAAGGACCTTTCTTAAACATAAAACTAAACAGGGTAAGATCGCACAAATAGAAATAAGACCGAAGAGGGATAAAACAAGTAACATAATAATCTTCCTGGACCATCCGGGCAAATTTGGAAGCTTAAGCCAATCAAAGAGGTCATCGAGGCCTCCTCCTTTGTCTTGTTGAATTTCTCTGACCAAGCCTTTTAACTGATTGATGCTTTGGTGTATCGACTCGGCATGGTCCGAAAAATTCATACAACACATTCCCTCGAAATCCTGGCACCCGTGGCCATGTGCCAGGAGGAGGAAATCTATCGCGGCTCGATTCTGCAAACTGACCTCTTTAAGCTTTTGGGAGTCTTCCAGCAGGCCCTCTATTGCCGATGTCGTGGCATTTGCTTCCTTGGTCAACCAGCAACCAAGGTGTGTAAAAAGAGAGAGGGCATGTGCTGTTCCGATTCCTGGAAAAGGAAAGGACGCCCAAAAGTTTTTTACCCTTGACCAGATGTGAAGGTTGGAATCACACTCTTCTGGAAAGGGCAGAGGAGTGGGCCAATATTGCGGCTTCCCAAGATTCAAATGTGGTGCAGGGAGCGAATTTTTGATCCGAATTGTCTGAAAATTATCTTCAAGCTTTGGCGACGGTTTTGATTCAAAAGGTCTAGGTCCAGGGAATCTGAGGGGAGCATTAAGTTTAGGGTTAGGATCATCATACTCAGAGTCATCTAGATTGAGAGGGGTACCTGATTCATCAAAATAAAGAGGAGGGTTCATTACATAATCAAGGGATCTTTTAGTTCTAATTTTGGGGTTGACTAATTGATTGTCCAATTTAAATTTTGCTGGGTTATATAGGGCTAGTTTTCCTACCGTGCAGGGACCCCCTTCAGGGTAGGCCCGAATTCCGGGCCATGCCCGATCTCCGCACAGCAGGAAATAGCCTTTGGGCAACTTCATGTTCCGGGGAACATGTTCCGTGGGGACGGTGGTGGCCACGGAATCGTTACACCACGGCGATTTTGTTCCTTGATATATGGGCTTATTTGCGGTGACGTTGAGGGGAGTAAATAAAACTGGAAGGGTATAACGGTGGAAAATAACACATAAAGCAGAAGGCAGGGAACCAAGCAAATCAATTTCTTGAAATGGAATATCTATGAAATTTAATGCTGAAATGGTTTGGGCTAAATTAGGGGAGTTGAAGGGTAAAGGTCCTCGGATTCTCGTCTGGGCTGTAAACGCATCCCATTCTGAGGGGGAGATAGGAATTCCTACAAGACAGGTTTTGAAGGGACTGCCTGCGCTGGGCAAGGACAAACACATAGTATCCGTGTTCGTGGCCTTGGCCAGCGTTACCCAAAGGTTCTCATTTGGTTGATTCATCCACGATCTTAAAGGGATGGAGATGGCATGGTGGATGAATCCGGACGTGAAGATCAGAAGGAACAGGAGCGTGGTCGTCTCGTTCATTGTTGTTGTTTTCTCAGCGTTGGTAAACCTTCACTCTTCTGGCTGGGATCCACTTGGGGCCTTCTGTACCTGAAATACAGGCGTACCCCTTCCCCCACGTAATTAGAGGGAAGGGGCCCGTCCATCTTTCGGTAAGCGGATCTTTATATAGTACCTTGGCCTTCTGGTCTGACTGAGATGGAGTTGACCTAAAGTGTTTGTCGATGGGACTTTTGCTTGCGTGAGTTTCAGGCTCCTCCATCATATTGAGAAAGTTGAGAACATACATCACTTTCTCCAGTTTTTCTTGGGGGGACAGGCCAATACTCCCCCTTTTTTGTTTTTTAAGCATATTTTTTATATTTTGATGTGCTCGCTCCACTATACCCTGTCCTGTGGGATTATGGGGAATACCTGTGGTATGCTGTATCCCCCACTGTTCAAAAAACTTCTTCGTGTCTGCAGACACGTAGGAGGGCCCATTATCTGTTTTTATTTGTTTTGGAACGCCCATCCTCGCGAACGCAGACAGGAAGTGTTTTTTGACATGACTACTCCTCTCTCCAGGATGTGCGGTGGCCACAATCATTTTTGAAAATGTGTCTATAGACACATGTACATATTTTAATTTGCCAAATTCAGCCACATGTGTGACGTCTGACTGCCATATCTCCAAAGGTGACAACCCTCTAGGGTTTGTTCCTTCGGGAGCGACTGGTGCGAATGATTGGCAGTCAGCGCACGTTTTGAGGATTTCTTTTGCTTGTGCCAATTTCAAGCCAAATTGTTTCTGCAGCGATCGCGCATTCTGGTGGAAAAAATCATGTGAGAGTTTCGCCTGTTGATAAAGATTAGGGGTTACAGCTATACCTGCCAAATGGTCGGCAATCCGGTTCCCCTCCGCCACAGGACCTGGTAGGGTGGTGTGCGAGCGGGTGTGGACGATATAGTAGCCAAATTGTCTTCGTTCTACGAGGAATAGCAATTTAGTTAACAATTCAAACAGAGCCCGATTAGATACCTCTTTGAGGTATGAATTTTCGATTCGTTTCACCACACCCACTACGTAGGCCGAATCCGAGATTATATTTATTGGCTCACCACTAAAAATTTGGAAAGCCCGCACAACTGCTGAGAGTTCCACGATCTGAGGAGAACCCTGTACTTTATGAATATCTTGTTGCCAATTTTCGTTTTCCTTCCAAACAATTACCGCATTTCCAGTTCTCCCCGAGCCATCGGTAAAAACTGTTTTTGCGTTTTCGATCGGGATTTCGGATTGCATAATTCTAAGCTTGATTGGGATCGGAGCCAGCCTTTGTATGAATGGGCACGCCGGGAGGTGTAGCCGAATTTCTCCCGGGTAGCCCCCGATGGCGATTTGGAAGTCGATGGAGGTCTGCAACAGTTGATCTAGGTGTTCAGAGGTCAGTGGAAGATAAATAAAATTTGGCTCCTCTCCACTGAGCTCTAGACACCTAGTGCGGCCTTTAGATGTTATTTTGCCAATCATCTCAGCTATAGTGGTGATCGTGCGGCCGAATTGATGAGGGAGGAACATCCACTCCCACAAGTAAAAGTCCTTATTATCGATTGTAAATTGGCCCAGGAGGGCCAAAGGTTGTCGTTGCTCTCTTAGAATTATTAAGGAGGATGGCAGTCCCTCCATCCTCCTACATGTCTGTCTCTGTGAAATTTTCTTTTCCACGGTGGTAAGGGATTGAAGGGCTTCTGCTGTTAAAGTTCGGGGAGAGGACAGATCGGCGTCACCCTTCAGCAGCTCGAATAGGGGATGCAAGTCCCCGGTTGTGATCCCCAACACAGGCCTGATCCAATTGATGGCTCCCAGTAGTTTCTGGAGATCGTTTAAAGTATGGACTTTTTTGTTAATCTCAATCTGCTGCGGTCTTATAGTTCTGCTTGTAATTTGAAGTCCAAGATATCTCCAGGGTGCTTCCTTCTGTATTTTCTCAGGGGATATCTCCAATCCTTTCTGTTTTAGCGCCGAAATTGTACAATTTAGTGTTTCGTCCACTGCCAATTGAGTTTTTGCACAGATCAATACATCATCCATATAATGGAAGATGATTGACTGTGGATGTTTTTGCCTGATTGGTCTCAACACTTCTGCCACGAACATTTGGCAGAGTGTTGGGGAATTTTTCATCCCCTGAGGAAGCACGCGCCACTGGAACCTGCGGTGAGGTTCACAAGCGTTGACTGCCGGGACCGAAAATGCAAATTTTGCCGAATCAGCCGGATTCAA